AAAGAGGAGGGGAAGAGGGGAGGGGGGAAAGAGGAGGGAGGAAAAGAGGAGGAGGGGGAATGAGGAGGGAGGAAGAGAGGTGGAAAGACAGGAGGGGAAGAGGAGGAAGGGAAAAGAGGAGGGAGGGAGAGAGGTGGGAAGAAAGGAGGGGAAGAGGAGAATGGGAAAAAGAGGAGGGAGGAAGAGAGGTGGGAAGACAGGAGGGGAAGAATAGGAGGGAGGAAGAGAGGTGGGAAGACAGGAAGGGAAGAGGAGGAGGGGAAAAAGAGGAGGGGGGAAGAGAGGTGGGAAAACAGGAGGGGGAGAGGAAGGAGGAAGAGAGGTGGGAAGACAGGAGGGGAAGAGGAGGAAGGGGAAAAGAGGAGGGAGGGAGAGAGGTGGGAAGAAAGGAGGGGAAAAGGAGAATGGGAAAAAGAGGAGGTAGGAAGAGAGGTGGGAAGACAGGAGGGGAAGAGGAAGGAGGAAGAGAGGTGGGAAGACAAGAGGGGAAGAGGAGGAGGGGGAAAAGAGGAGGGACGAAGAGAGTTGAGAAAAGATGAAGATAGGAGGGGAAGGAGAGGAAAAGAGTGGAGGAGAGAGGAGGGAAAAGGGGGAAATGAGGGAGGAAGAGAGTTGGGAAAGGGGGGGGAGAAAGGTAATGGGAAAAGAGTAGGGAAAGAGGGGAAGGGAAAAAAATAGAGGGAGGAAGAGAGGTGGGAGACAGAAGGGGAATAGGGGAGGGGGGGAAGAGGAGCAAGAGTGATGGGAAAAGAAGAGGAGAGGAGTAGATGAGGCGAGAAAAGGAGTGGAGAAGAGAGGTGGGAAAAGAAATGGGGAAGAGGAGAGGGGGGAAAGAGGAGGGAGGAAGAGAGGTGGGAAATGAGAAGGACACACACACACACACACACACACACACACACACACACACACACACACACACACACACACACACACACACACACACACACACACACACAGAAACTGAGATGGGGTGCAGAGGTGGATAGAAAGAGAGGAGAAAGAGAGATGAAGACTTTATCTGGGTTTAAGAGAGCTTCTCATTAGCATCTTAAAGTTATTTTCGATAACGTCTTGGGTCGTCACAAGACGGGGGGTCATGGAGGGAGGGGAACGGATAGGGGGAGGGAGAGGGGGGGGGATTCAGCGAGAGTGTGAGCACTTGCCGTAGTTCGTGAGATTACTTGATGTTATAGAGATTTATGTGTACACTATGTCACTACACACACACACACACATACACACACACACACAAACACACACACACACACACACACACACACACACACATACACATACACATACACACACACACACACACACACACACACACACACACACACACACACACACACACACACACACACACACACACACACACATACACACACACACATACACACACACACACACACATACACACACACACATACACACACACACACACACACACACACACACACACACACACACACACACACACACACACACACACACACACACACACACATACACACACACACATACACACACACACACACACACACACACACACACACACACACACACACACACACACACATACATACATACATACAATTAAAACTATTTCCAATATACGTCGCGTGAGGCAAAGGGCGAAGGCGCTCCGGCGCTTGTGAGCATTAGCCTCCACTTCCCGCCGTGTCTCCCAAGACGGGATAACCGCGAGTAAACAGCCGAAGAAAGTGGAGCAGCGAGTGAGTGGAGTTCCCCTTTGTGTCCTTAACCTTGAGTGGGTAAAAGTAAATAGGGAAAATGCGAAATGGAAAGCAGGGCGCGTGTGAATAAATGAGTGGATAAATAAGGAAGATTCACTCGCTGTGTTTTGAAGTGACGAGGCGAGTGGCGTGCGAGTTTCTCCTCTTTTCAGCTTTCCTTCCTGGTGCTTGCTCGTCCTTTCTTTTTATTCGTAATTCCTCGTGTGTGGTTTTTTTTCTGTTAGTGTTTGATATTCTATCTCTCTCTCTTTATGTTTCGTTAACTCTCTCTCTCTCTCTCTCTCTCTCTCTCTCTCTCTCTCTCTCTCTCTCTCTCTCTCTCTCTCTCTCTCTCTCTCTCTCTCTCTTTCTATTTTTTTTCTCTCTCTTTCTTTCTTTCTTTCCCTCTCTCCTGCTCTCCCTCTCCCGCCCTCTTTCTCTCTCGCTCATCCCCCATCCTCCGCACCTTCTCCCCCACCTTTTTTTTCTCTCTCTCTTTCTCTCTCTCTCTCTCCTTTCCTCCGTCCCGCCTCCTCTCCGCCGGGCAAGGAACTACCCGAGTGAGAAATAGGCCCTTAATGAGCAGCCCCGACGCTGGGGAAGGCTGCATGAGGACGCAGAGAGAGGAAGAGAGTAAAGGAGGAAGAGAAGAGGGGGGAAGAGGATGGGAGGGGAAGAGAGTAAAGGAGGAAGAGAAGAGGGGGGAAGAGGATGGGAGGGAAAGAGGGGGGGGAAGAGAAAGAGGAGAGAGGAAGTGAGGAAAG